ATGAAGAAAATTAATTACCTACACGGTTATTTTCTTAGCAAAATAAGTGAAACCGAGTGAAAAGCAGGTGCGACCGGTGCGATAGTTTTTTCTCTGCCAATGATTACTGGAGGCTTATTATTAGCACTAATATAATTATGGCTAGTTATGAAATTGCAAAACCGACATAAAACGGGCAGGAAACATGTGAAATGGAGACAAGTTAGTCTGCATCTTCACACAGATGGCTGTGTATTTATGTCAGGTATATCTATAAGAAACCATCTGAGATATGATGGTTGTTTTTCACGACATCTGAAACTCTTTTCGTGAGTAACATTCTGTTAGAAAAAATATACAATTAAGTTATTTCATTAATAACACGGTCGAATATTACATTCACTACGAAAAAGTTACTGTGATAGCGAAATATGTTGTGATATATTTTTTGAGAATGAAGTTTGTGAAGAACAAGTTATTAGGTGTTGTTTGTGAAATTGAAAAAAGACATTACGAGAAAAAGATACAGATATATAGCGATTATAATTTTAACGGTTCTCTGATATTAAACAATACGAAACTGTTCAAAAAATGAAGTGGATTTTTACATTTCGGGAATTTTTGCAAGCTCAGTCCTTTTTTTCGTCAATTTTGTCAGGATTATCGACAGCGAAGAGAAATCGTATAGACATATTTATCGACAATATTTCGGATGGACAACTTCCAAGTATTACTATAATTGTAATGAGAAAATAAAGAGAGAGTATCTGTTGCCGACAGTGAAGATGAATTGGTGCTTCACTTTCTCTCGAATTGAGATCTTATCATAGGCCTTTTCATCATAAGACGAGCACAAGTGTAGCCGCCATATTGAAATGGCGGTAATTCAAAACATTCGTACTGTTTTAATCAACAATGGCTGGGCAAGGAATATTATCTCCACAAACAAATAAATTATTGGAAAAAACCATTGATGTAACTTCACTTGTTTATAATTCAGTTGAAGCTCATAATGGGGAATGTTCCTCCTGACGAAAATCAAGTAGTTTTCATAAAAGAGCTCTAAAACAACACATTTTAAACTTACCATTTCAACCTTTTTCTTTAAAAAAATATTCAAATACTTAAAAAAGAGGAATTTAAAAATGCATTCAACATTTAAAGGGATTCGTTTCTATTTCACCATTTGGCAACATCGGTTATAGCTAATAAAGGACAATGAATCTGTTACCTGTATGAGACAAACAAAGATGACATATTTCAGAGGCGTGCTGTTCTGTTTACTTATGTTCCAAGTTCCGAGACATTCTGTGACATATGACATTTTGTGCACCTAACCTATCTTCCTCTATATAAATAAATAACAAAACAACTGTTGCTTATGTGGCTTCTGGAGATGGTATTGAACTATAATTTATATTTTGCCTTATTTGTTGATTTATAAAGAAAATTTTCCTTTTTTAAAGTAGAATATCTAAGTACGTGTAAATTATTTCAACTTGATATAGGCGCTGTTGTCAATATGTGAATTAGAAACAAATCCCTTTAAAAATTAAAACCCAAAATTTGAAACATCAATTTGAATACTTTTCGAAGTGAATTTGAAAAACTCATGAATTAAACTCAACTTTATTTTGTTCGAACTTGCATTTGCTGTAATAACCCAAATTGAGGAACATTCCCCATTGTAATGAGGGAATAAAGAGAGAGCATCTGTTGCCGAAAGTGAAGATAAATTGGTGCTTCACTTTCTCTTCTCGGTATTTATTTCACTGGATCAAGTACAAAACATTTTAATCGGAGGTAACCTATTATAAGATATATTTTGAAGGAATTATGAAATAATTTACTCTGCATTCATCTTCGCACAATTCATACAACTTCTAAAGAGTGTACAGTGTGATCAAACTCAAGTCAACACTGTTGCTAACTTCTTTATTATTGAAGATACGAAAAACAATAATTAAACATCGTGTTTAAGGTTTATTTGAAAAAATTATTTTGTCATAAATTTTTGTAACCACTGTAATAAAAAATCAGTTATTACGATACAGATTCGTATTTGAAACAATAAAGCAGATGAAGAAATATAATGAACGAAACGTTGCGTTGCAAATTTGTTTATACCAGATTATAACAAGTATGAAACAGTATTAAAAGTTAATCTGTCTTTTTTCATAACATTCGAGATGAAGGCGGTGGAGTCAGAAAAACGAAATTTGACAAGTCTAGTTTTTGACGAATATTTCAAAAACAACCACAGATTTCTCGATCGGGAAAAGATTATTCAAGTTCCCCAAAATAGAAAACATTGTCCAATTTACCGTTTTCGAGATAGCAATAATATGGTCAACAGAAAAAGACTGCCCGTCTTTCGAAAAATCGGTATATATCTGTACTGCATGATTACAATTTCAATTTTTTTAGCTAAATTTCATCATTCTAGACAATCAAGACAATGGAGCTTATCTAATCTCCCAGTATATCATTAATAAATAACCAGGTATTCGATACCAGTGTGAAGGTGGCCATGTGTTTTCATCCATGTGTTTGGTGAAAGAGAGGCGAGCGCGCTATTCCGCCATAGGTCGTTTCACCGCAATTATTCACATGGCTAGCCATGTAAATTTTTACATTGATAGACTCATTGCTGGAAACGAACTGATGTGATTGGAAATGATTCTAATGATGATGAAAATCCTTTTTTTTTATGAAATGAACCGCATTTTATTGAAATTGAACAAACAAGTGATAATAATAGAAGCAGAAAAATAATTCCAAAAGGAAATTCGTTGCTAGGAATATTTTTTCTGTCAATTAATTGAATACACCCCCACTACCCTTTATTCAATTTTCATTAGAAAAAATCATAACTCCTTGCAGAAACACATTGCTGGGAATTTTTTTTTCATGAAACCATCGAATTTGGCATGCTTATTAACCCCAGAAGGATCGCTGATTTAGTCTCGCGAAAGAACACCCCCCAACTACCCTTAATTCACTTTTCATTAAAAATAAATCATAAGTCCTTGCAAAAACACATTGCTGAGAGTATTTTTTCATGAAACCTTCGAATTTCGCAAGCTTGTTAACCCCAGAAGGGTCGCTGATTTAGTCTCGCGAAAGAACACCCCCGACTACCCTTAATTCAATTTTCATTAAAAAAAGCATAAGTCCTTGCAAAAACACATTGCTGGGAGCATTTTTCGAGAAACCATCGATTCAGCAAGCTGGTTAACCACAGAAGGATCGCTGATTTTGTCTCAAGAAAATACACCCCCTTCTACCCTTAATTCAATTTTCATTAAAAAAATCATAACTCCTTGCAGAAATACATTGCTGGGAATATTTTTCCATGAAACCATCGAATTTGGCATGCTTATTAATCCCAGAGGGGTCACTGATTTTGTCTCACGAAAATACACCCCCTTCTTACCTTAATTCAATTTTCATTAGCAAAAATCATAACTCCTTGCAGAAACACATTGCTGGAAAAAAAATTCCATCAAATCATCCAATTTGGCATGCTTATTAACTCCAGAAATGTCGCTGATTTTGTCTCACGAAAATACACCCCCTTCTACCCTCAATTCAATTTTCATAAAAAAAAATCATAATTCCTTGCAGAAACACATTTATGGGAATATTTTTTCATGAAACCATCGAATTTGGCATGCTTATTAACCCCAGAAGGATCGCTGATTTGGTCTCGCGAAAGAACACCCCCAACTACCCTTAATTCACTTTTCATTAAAAAAATCATAACTCCTTGCAGAAACACATTGCTGGGAAATTTTTTTCATGAAACCATCCAATTTGGCATGCTTATTAACCCCAGAAGGGTCGCTGATTTTGTCTCAACCCCAGAAGGGTCGCTGATTTTGTCTCACGAAAATACACCCCCTTCTACCCTTAATTCAATTTTCCTTAGAAAAAATCATAAGTCCTTGCAAAAACACATTGCTGGGAGTATTTTTTTCATGAAACCATCGAATTTCGCAAGCTTGTTAACCCCAGGGGTGTCACTGATTTTGTCTCACGAAAATACACCCCCTTCTACCCTTAATTCAATTTTCATTAGAAAAAATCATAAGTCCTTGCAGAAACACATTGCTGGGAATATTTTTCCATGAAACCATCGAATTCAGCGAGCATGTTAACTCCAGAAGGACCGCTGATATAGTCTCGCAAAAGAACACCCCCGACTACCCTTAATTCAATTTTCATTAGAAAAATCATAAGTCATTGCAAAAACACATTGCTGGGAGTATTTTTCCATGAAACCATCCAATTTGGCATGCTTATTAACCCCAGAAGGGTCGCTGATTTTGTCTCACGAAAATACACCCCCTTCTACCCTTAATTCAATTTTCATTAGAAAAAATCATAACTCCTTGCAGAAACACATTGCTGGGAATATTTTTTCATGAAACCATCGAATTTGGCATGCTTATTAACCCCAGAAGGGTCGCTGATTTGGTCTTGCGAAAGAATAACACCCTCAACTACCCTTAATTCACTTTTCATTAAAAAAAAATCATAAGTCCTTGCAAAAACACATTGCTGGGAGTATTTTTTCATGAAACTATCGAATTTCGCAAGCTTGTTAACCCCAGAGGGGTCGCTGATTTTGTCTCACGAAAATACACCCCCTCTACCCTTAATTCAATTTTCATTAAAAAAATCATAACTCCTTGCAGAAACACAATTTCAATAAAATGCGGTTAATTTCATAAAAAAAAAAAGGTTTTCATCATCATCAGAATAATTTTCTATCACATCAGTTCGTTTCCAGCAATGAGTCTATCAATGTAAAAATTTACATGGCTAGCCATATGAATAATTGCGGTGAAAAGACCTATGGCGGAATAGCGCGCTCGCCTCTCTTTCACCAAACACATGGATGAAAACACATGGCCACCTTCACACTGGTGTATTCGATAAAGGTATATATTTTTCTCTGTTGGCATATTATCTGACTATGCAATCTGAATCAATATTAATTGTGAAGTATGACTTACTCTGATTGGTTCTTGAAACAGGGGGGGATTTTCTTGTTCAGCTACTTGTGAAGACATCTGGATACGCGCCTGCCGTTCCCGTTCACGGAGGCGGTCTCTTTCCACGCTGAAAAACAAATCAAGTTGAAAACATTTCATACCAGTCACTACGAAAAAATTAAACTTGAAAATTTAAAGTGCAGAGATATTTTCAACTGTCTCTGTACATTTTAGACAATTGCCATATCTATTTATAACTGTCAGTGGCAGATTTTTGTGTTTTTTACTCATTTGTACACTCGCTTGTGGCAAGTAAGCACACCAGTCCCACATTTCTCAAGGAAAAATCAGTAGGGAGAGGGGCGCAAGCTACAGAATAGATTTTTTATGTTGAATGAAAGACTACATATGACTGCTATATTGAGGTGAGGATTGCAAGAGCTTTTTTTTTGGCATTGATTTTAACCAAAAAGGCTATTTCTACTTTAGAAAAAAGTTAATTTTTGAGAAAATCATCGAGATTAATTTTTTTCCATAGATTAGTACCTATGGGCCATATAAGTACACGAAACTAGAAGCATGTTTTTACACTTTTTTGAGGAGCTTGTGAGCATGTAAAAATTCATGATTTATGGTTTAAATTCTTTGTTGCTTCATCAACCTTTTACTTTTTCTCCACCCTCTATTTTTTCCACAGTATATCTAGACAAGGCATTTAAAAAAATGAAAAATTTTACAAAAAACAGTTTTCCCTTTCAAAAAAAAACGTCAAATGATAAATTATCAAATTACACTTACACTTTCCCAATAAATCGAAGAGAAATATATTTAAGAAAAATGTACTTTTTGGTAAAAAATCATGTTTATGTACCACAGCATATAAAAAAATGCTCAAATGTGAAGAGAAGATTAAGGACTGATGTACCACAACACCCTGAATAGTGAAAACGGTTAAAAGAGATAAAATGATTGATAGAAGGTAAAGTTGTCAACAAAATCTTTTCAATAAGAGCTTCGAAACTTCATTATTTCCTTCCATTCGCCTTCATCGGAAAATCGGATATTCAGATGAACTGGAAATTCCTCGATACGCCAAAGTCAACACATAATTCTAAAATTAGAATAATAAGTTTGCTGTGGTTTGGAATGAGTGAGTAATGCAGTCATTTAGATTCATTTACAACGAAGTAAAATGGCTGATTACCGAATGTCCCATCTTTGTAACAACCGTAATTTTTTGTTGACTGATTTAACCGGAGTTCGCGACTCCAAACCGGATGGTCCAACAAAAATATATATTTTTAATCCAACAGAACTGTCAATACACATTTTTATATTTTCTACAGGAATCTTTTGCGAATATTTTCATCGCTGGCACTGCCACCCTTGCGATGAAATGATACTCAACCCTTAAACGGAATTTCAAGGTTTCCTACTGTTCAAACGGTAGATATCGGAAAAACCGTAATGAAAATCTCACGAAAACACAAAACTTTACGCTAATTTTATATTTTTTTGTTGTGGAGTTGGCATGATTTTTATTACGAATTGCCTTACTAGCTTTTCGGAATCTGATGGTTGCAAAAAAAATATATGTAGTTTTTGTTTTATCTCCCACTAAACGCATAAGTGAGAGTTATTCATATTCCATTCATCCAGATTAAGTACTCGTAATATTTAGACCGTAAATATTTCGGATTTCGTGCGTACGAGTTCAAATAATTGCACTTTATAATGAAAACGATAGGTGCGCTAATATTACAGCATAGTCGTTTACTGGCCAGAATTAGTTAATAATAATAATAAATATCAAAACCGTATCAAAGTACATGCTCGCTATTAAGTTACGGGTCATCTGATACAAATGCATACATGCCTTTGAAGAAACATCTGCAAAATTTTCTCAGCGAGGAATCTCGCATAAATGCCTATGGGGTTTGTACAGAAATACTGTTTCTCGGTGCACGTTTCACTAAGTTTTCATCGTCAGATTACTAAGACTTCGGGTGTGTTTAAACGTCCGTCGTGGTACTGGTCAGAGAAGTAGTCATTTTTCGGCAGATATTTGCTATGTCTAACTGTGTAGGAATGTTAGGAGGGGTGAATATTTCAAATCTCCATACCAGAAAAAAAATTAAGTGTCTATAAGATGCGACAAATCAATAGAAACTACAGATTAGGAAGAAAATTAATGATTTTCATTTCTGGGCCTGATTTTGACCGTGATTTGTCATAGATAATCAAAAATGAACACACTTTTTTGGTGGAAGTTCTTTCAAAGTGGTTGAAGATTTATTTTTTTATATTGACATAATGAATAATCGGGAAAATATGGTTTTGATGTAGACAACACAATGTGTTTATTCATTTTTTAAATAATTTATCTTGATACACTGGGCACCTAAAATGCCTGTATAATGTTTGAGAACTCATGATAAAACTATTTTTGCTAAATCAATTTTCGAGAAACACAGTTTTATTGTTGCGACAAAAAAGGAGAGATATTTTGAAAGGTTTTTCGACTCGAAACCCCTTTCAAAAAAATCAACTGTTTTTGGAATTACAACTGAACGATAGCATTAATTTCAGGTAGTGATTACTTGTCAAATTTCATGAAAAAAGTTCATATCAACGTGTGTCCTAACTTGATTCGTTTCTTAATAACGGAGTGTCAAAGTTTCACTAAATATATTGTTCTTCTATCAATAACTCAAAAGTCTTTTCGCCGATTTCAATGAAACTAGTTATCTTTGTTAGGAATAACAAGTGGCTTCTTTTCATAAACTTGGATTACGAATAATTTCAGTGACGTCACAGAGGGTTAGCTGATTGATATTTATGATAAGAATGATTTTGTACATAAGTAACTGTTTTCATACAAGTTTAATATTTTTATCAGATTAAACAAATTAAAAAAAAGTTTGAACACCAGCTTTTATACATGTTTCAAATTGAAAAAATATTTCTTTTTTTTTAATTTTTAAACATTATAGAATAGAACTAAAAATAGAACATATAAGTATTACTTTTGATTTGATTACCTGTCAATGCAGCAAAAGTGGAATAACTCATCACACAAGTTTAGCTATATCAAATAAAATCAAATTCAGCAAAAACAGTGGCGTTCAATGATTTTTACCATAAATTCAATCAAATAACCTGGAATTGAAATTCTGAATCTCGGAAACGAAGTGAGTTAAGACACACGTTTGTATGAAGTTTTTTTTATAAAATGATGACTAGTAATCACAACCTGAAATTAATGACATCATTTGAGAGACACCCTGTATATTTTATCGACGACATTGTATTTTTACACAAACAACGCAAGCAAGATACAGTTATGTTTCTCAATAGCAGTTTAACAAAAGTGAGGATCAAGTACCACCTAGAATAATTTTAAATTCATTAGTTTCGACTTACCCAACAACCTTCAATTAGTCTATCTCTCAAATAAACATGTTAATGACCTGGATAAAGGTTAAGGCAGATAAATATTTTGATGTTCTGTTTATTCTTGTAACTTCTCGAATCACTGAAGTGTAACAAAATGCATATTTATATAAGTATGATTAATACAGGAACATAATCCACAATGAAAAGTTTTCTCTTTGGAGGCCTTTGAGGTGAGTCACTGTGATTGTACGGGGTACATCGAGGGATACATTCTTATCTCGATTCTTATTTAATGTTTCGTCCATGACATTCTTGATTGGTATGCCACTATACAGGGTGGTAGGCCAACTTGGACACCAAAAAAATCTTGTACCGAAGGGGATCCAATTATATTTGATTTTTGTAGTTTTCAACTTGTTACTTGATAAACAGGTAGGGATGTAACTTATCGAGTGAAATGAATTCCGCAAGTTGAAACTTGTTGATTTTAGTCATCTCCTGATTATGTTAGCTTGGTTTTAATAACAAGAATTAGGCTAGCTGAACCACTTTGTATTCTATTCAGGCCATAATTCTGCAGTCCATTCTCGAATTTTCTCGTCTCCATTCAAATGAGATAATTTTTATTGGACCCACATGTCATAATTTAGGGCTTTTAGTTTCCTTACATGCTAGGAATTGCACGTTGAAAGGTAACACCTCTTTAATCATTAGCTCGTACAAGTTTAGACTCAGGGTGGCTTTTGTTTCGTTCGTAGGGGGCAGACAGTGCTGGTTAACATAAAAACGGATTTTAACAAACACACACATTTTTGAATCGTGTATCTGTTAGCTTCATCATTAGCCTTGAAGAACTAAGTCAAACTCCTTCGTATTTTGATAATTTACAATTTGCAATAATTTTTGACTCATTTCAGGCTTCTTTATTGAAACATTTTTGTTCCCCTTGACCTGAATATTTGTATAATATACAAGAATGTAACTGAAAAAAATTGAGAATTAAACACTCAGTTCAGGCTCAATTTTTCACTGCTCTCCGACTTGCTAATTGTTTTTTCTAATCCTTGGATTCTGCTAACTATCGTCGCGAATTTGAAAATTTCGTTTGTTAACGACAGTTCATCCAGAAATGGGTCTCATCGCGGAATATGACTTTTTGATGAAGCACTTGAGCTCTGGGCTCTGGATCAGGTACTAACTACTTCAGAGCCCATTTAGCGAACACAAGTCGTTGTCTATAGTCGTTTACCTTCATTTCCTGGGTCAGTTGAATTTTTTACGGGTGCAGGTCCAAGTCAAGACGCACAATTCGCCAAGTTGTGGTCTGCGAAAGGTAGAATTCTCATGGGCGACGCAAAACCGACGGTTTCTGATTCTCCTGTACACTCTCACAGACGGTGAAGGTGTATTTGGCAGATATTGCGTTTCGTCAACGTACGAAACCGATCATAACAAATAATAAACTTGGAAATTAGACACAAGTTATTTTCTTTATTCTATATTTAATGATGAATGAATGAACAGTTTTTTGGACTCGCAAACTTCCAGGACTCGGCTTCTGCTGGTCCTAAAATTTAAAATTTTGTCTATTCGTTCACAAAAAGATTACTTTCCGGACTTGTTACATTGCTCAACGAACGCTCAAAAGAAAAATGATTACAAGAAACCGTTGCCTTGGAGATAACGAAGGCTCTTCGTGAGCTACAAAAAGCACAACGAATACAAAGTTTG